GTAACCATGCCTATTAGAATCTAATAAATTCTACTATTTTGACAAAAAATAAATGATAATTTATAAATTATATGAGTTCATTTAGTTGAGCGACAACATTACTAGGTTAGACATATAGTTGTTAAGGGAGGGGAGTTAGTGGAGGTCGAACCCCCATCTGCATATGCATGATTGCTTTCTGCCACTGCTGTAAAATGTTATTTGCATAATGAGTTTGTTATGAATGTTAGTATCGTTCTTAATCGTGTTAAGGAAGTCTTATACGAAGTTCATACCCATTTAAAAGCCCCGACATTTTAAACAAATGCTTAGTCCGAAATTAGTCACTCAAATATCTAAATTTTTAGTGGAAATACATCTTTTTATTAAAAACCAGCTTTCAGGCAAATAGTTGATGAGAGGGATTGTGAGCCCACGCGCCATTAAATGCTAGTAAAAATTGATTCCGATATACTTTTCTGCCCTCTCAAAATTTAACTTGCACTCTTACACTTCCACTAGCAGCCACCAAGCCATGCAAATATCCCCACCAAATTCTAGAGCTCTAAGTTTTCACCATTGTTTTACCTCCAAACCTCTTTTCCTCCAAAACCCACCTCCCCAATCCCAAATCCCCCAAAATCCATGAGTCCTCCAAATTTCCCAATCCACCGACAAACCCAGTTGATTGATTCACAAGAAGTTGAAAACTTTCCCACTTCCCCACATTGATTAATCTGCTTTTCCAATAAGCAGCTTTTCCCAATCGTAGATATGTGCGCTCTGGAAATGGCCCGAGATGGGCTGCTGGTCCCGGCGGCCGCGGAGACTGCTCAGACGCAAGCTCAAGCCTCTTCCGCTGCCAAGAAGAAGACTACATCTTTGAGAAGCTGGATTTCGCTGGACCATGACGGGCAGGGAACGGTTTTGGATTTGGATAAGCACGCCATTATCCGCCGAGTTCAGATTCACGCTCGAGATCTTCGGCTTCTCGATCCTTTGTTATCGTATCCGTCCACAATCTTGGGCAGAGAGAAAGTCATTGTTCTTAATTTGGAGGTCGGTTGTGAGATTTCCATAAGTGCTTTTCGTTCTGATTCTGCTTTTGGCTTTTTTTTTCTTGTACTAAACACTGTGCTTGGTTTGTATGCCTTTTTGAAATTTGGGTTCCAGCACATCAAAGCAATAATCACAGCGGATGAGGTAATTTGATTAGTGTTTTAGTAACGTTTGCTTTGCCTTTGCCTTTTGTCTCTACTCTAACTACTGTTTGTCATAATATAAGACGCACTAAACTTGCAACTAATCACAATTTAGCAGAACTGAGCGTGACCAAGTTAGCTCGAGTAGTGAAGTCCCGTTCTACGTCCTCCGTGCAATATAGTTTAGATTAGATCAGAATATCGCTTGAATAAAAATAATCAGAATTAGTAAAGTGGGTTGGTTAATGAAGTAAAATATATTTTAGGCAAATGATTAAGGTTTGTTTTTGGTGTAGGTATTGCTTAGAGACCCACTTGATGATAATGTACTACCTATTGTTGAGGAACTTCAAAGGCGCTTGCCTCCATCAAGCGCCAATTTCAATGGCCAAGGAGAAGAAGAAGATGCTTCTGGGGTACAAAAAGATGGCGAAACCGATGACGAAAACGGTATGATTCAGTGAATGTGATTGATGCTCTTCAGAACTTCGCGCTTATTAAGATGGATAATATTGCTCAGGAAGTTTAAGTTCAGTTTTGTGTTCCTAGTTGCTTTAGCATAATTCAATTTTGGTACCAAAGTTTTTGTGCTTGTTGTTTATCTGTTCTTTGACTCAATGTCCTGGTTGTTATGTTCATGTCATGATTTAGAATTCCCATTCGAATTCCGAGCTTTAGAAGTTGCACTAGAAGGTATTTGTAGTTTTCTTGATGCGCAGACTAGACAACTTGAGGCTGCTGCTTATCCGGCTTTAGATGAGCTGACCTCCAAGGTAAAGGATTTATTTGAATTTCGTTTTTTTATAAATCCCTGATGCATAACCGTAGTGTCAAAAGCCTCTGAGTTACATTATTTCGTATTCCATGATAGAAGGAAAACACGTTTAGATTGTTCTTCTTTGTCCGAACACTTTAGATTGTTCTTCTTTGTCCGAACACTTGGAAATATTTGCAGATTAGCAGTCGTAATTTGGATCGTGTGCGTAAGTTGAAGAGTGCAATGACCAGGTTGACGAATAGGGTTCAAAAGGTATACTGGTTAACGATATTATGCTGAAAACAGGGCTTATATGCTGATAACTTAACTACATTCCTATTATGCTCAGCGATGCAGGGGATTTATTTCTTGATTTAGTTCTGCAATCAATTCCCTTAACAATGTTGTATTGTTTTTGTTGCCATAAAGGTTGAAGAAGTTGCTAAAATTGGCAATTATATATATTTTTTAATTTCCGCTCACAAATATGAACTTATTTCTTTTATGGAATACTGCATTCTAGGTAAGAGATGAACTCGAACAACTTCTTGATGACGATGATGACATGGCAGACCTTTACTTATCAAGAAAGATGGTCGGGACTTCACCCGTCAGCGACTCTGGCGCTCCAAATTGGTCTCTCGCCTCACCTACTATAACTATAGGGTCAAAGGTATCCAGAACAAGCAGGGCGAGTGCAGCAACGACAGTTGAAGATGAGAATGATGTCGAGGAACTTGAAATGTTGCTCGAGGTTATAATTCAGCATAAGTCTTGTACTGTCGTACAGCCAAACCAAATCTGGAGTCTGAGTTGAATCCTATTATCTTTTGCAGGCTTACTTTATGCAAATTGATGGTACATTGAATAAATTGACAACGGTATGCGCTACTACTAGTATTGCAGCATCCTAACTTTCTACCTATATAATATGTGATTCCTTATCTCTTTACCAGCTGCGCGAATACATCGATGACACAGAGGATTACATTAACATCCAGGTAATGGTTGGTAACATGATATTGAAACCTTGACTCACTGATTTCGAACTTGACCCATGCTGTGTAGTTTCACTAACTAAATGCACAGAGCTACCATGTCTGAGCTATTAATGCCTCTTTCATTGCAGCTTGACAATCATCGGAATCAGCTAATTCAGGTAATGTCTTTAGGACTCAAACAGATACTATGCCGATGTTCCATAAGTACATATTTTGATAGTTAACATGAGTTTCCGGTGACAGCTAGAGCTGTTCCTAAGTTCCGGAACTGTTTGTTTGTCTATGTGTTCTTTGGTGGCCGCAATTTTTGGCATGAACATCCCGTATACTTGGAACGATGGTCATGAATACGTATTCAAATGGGTACGTACAAATACCCCCACACTTCACATAATTTTTCTTCACTTTTTGGATTCATTTTCTTTTCTCACTCCATTTCCATAACCTAACTTAGGTGATCATCGGCACGGGGATGGTTTGCGCCTCCCTTTTCTTGTTGATAATGTCATATGCTCAGCACAAAGGTCTCGTTGGATCTTGATACTCATACCGTTTGGTCTGTTGGGGAAAGATGTATACATAGTAGAGCATTGCAACAATTATCAAGTATTGTTATGTACAAATATAGGCAGCATTGGCTCAAGGGTTTAATTACTTGTAGTTATCAATTCAAAAGACCGAATAAAGTTTAATGTTGTGATTCTGTTGGCATCATTCAGATTATCAAAATGTCGATAACATGTATGAGATTGTAAGAGGCTTGTAACTAAACTTATTAAAAGCGTCGTTTAGTTTTGCACTCCGAGCCATGCGTTCAATTCTCTCTCATTCAGTATTGCTTATATATAAATATCTTTTACATGTTCAATCCTAGGAGGAGCATGCCGCGCGTGACTAACATGTTTTACATGTTCTCCAACTAATGTTGTGCTGCCTGTACAGGTGGCATTTCATTCCCATTTGAATAAGTACTCGTTGAAATGTGTACTTAAAAATTGGTCTAGAAATTCATCAACCCCGCTGTAGCTCTACGTCAACTTGATCAAAAACACGCGTCTTACACACCCCTTTGTGTATCTTTAATTTAAATCAGCCAGACCGAAGAATTTCTCTGTGAAGCAAGTGTCATGCAACTTCTGAAACCAAAAACTACCCTACCACCGGCCTACTACGGCCGACCGATGCTAATGCAATAAAGGTAGTATTATTTACACATCTTTTTTATCTTTCACATATTCTTGTAATTTTGTCCATTGATTTTTCTTAAATCTATTCAATCCAAGGGTAGAAACTTGGGAAAAATGTGTGACAGATAAAAATAAGTACGTGGATAACACAACCTTAGTGAAATACTAACAAAGAGTTGTATGGCTACCGTTGAAATGGTCCCACAGTATAGTTTTAATGGCTTTCTAAAGAGCCCAAGAGATTCCACCTGGCATTTCTTTTTGACTTGTTATATATTCCATTCGACGTACGGATTGAGAGATTTGCTTTTATGGATTTGGATTCTCTTATGAGCTAATAGAGATGATTCTCCTGACCAATCATCGTGGATTGTTAAATTTTTATCCAACAGCTACAAACAGGAGATCTCTTTAAAATTATAATGATTATAACCGTTGAATTTTTATCCAACGACTCACGATGATTGGTCCGAATGATTTTCCCCATTAACTCAGAGGATCCAAATCCGGCTTTTATACCTTTGCGCATTAATTTCACTGCGCGGTAAAAAGTTAAAAGGTGAAAAATGCGATTCGAAGTTGCAACGTGGGAACAAAGTCTGAGTTTGAAGTAACTTTGAATCAGTTCGTTCCGTACGTGAAAATCTTTGTTATTTTATTTTCTATTTTTATTTCATAAATTAAAAATCCAAATAAACAAAAATACGAAAATGGGTTAAATGATGCACATGTGGACACAAAATAAGACTCCACTTCCGCAAAGACTCGCCGTCGGGCGCACTTTAACCCAGTACGCACCCGCCGGCGTACATTAGCGTGGCCCCCCCTATCTGGAACCCAACCTGGTCTTTAAATTCAATTTTTTTTATTGTTTTCCGAATAAGAAAATAAAATTAAATCAGAGAAGATAAAAATAAAAAAGGAAAGAAACTTCATGCTCTTTTATGACGAAGAGCGAGCCTCCGATTCAGATCAGTAATCCTTGACCTTCTATTGGAATCCATCAAAACCCACGTCGAATCCTCAGAAATCGATCGAACCCCATCTCGCAAATCTCACTTTCCCACGAACCAAACAAGCTCAATCTTCCTCGCAGCTTCAAGCGGAGGTATTAACAATCTATTTCTTGCTTTCTTCTCCCTTGGATTTTGCTGGATTTTCCTCATCTTTTTCGCCTGCTTTTTTGTCCCGTTGATGTTCTGATTTTCGTGATTTTTGGGTCTAATGCAGGTGGATTTACAGAAATGGACGTAAATTTTGTGCGTGGGGCAACATGCAGTGTGTGAATACGTGGGAGAGTTCGGAATTTTGGAATTTATAGATTGGGAGGAGTCGGAGGTTTTGTTGGGTCGGAGATGGCGAATCCGGTGGTGAGAGTGAGGAGGGAGACGATTGCAGCATGCATGACTTGTCCTCTCTGCGATAAGCTTTTCAGAGACGCCACCACCATATCTGAATGCCTTCACACGTGTGAGTTCTCCTTCCTCCCTAGTGACAGACTCTTCGTTTTCCCTGTTTCTGCCAAAAATTGGGTTTCTGATTCTGGAAATTTGAAGTGTGAAGCTGTGATTTTTATGGCGTTTTGGTGATCTGGGTTGTTGGTATTTTGCATTTTTGGTATCGGGGTTTGGTTTGGTTTTGAGTGTTTTGCTCGTTTTGGGATGTGGGTTTTTGGGATTCCATGCTTTCCAAGACACTGTTTCCTTCCTCGATCTCTCTGTCTGTTTTTGTTTTACGACTCGAAGATCTGAGGGGAGCTTTGCCTGTTGGATTGGCCACCCATTTGATGAACAAGCAGAATCTTCTTTCGTTGACAAAGGTCAAATTGACATGCTTGTTGATAACTTCGAATGCTTGACTAAAAGGGATATAATTCCGACGTCTCTCTTGGAAGGTCTCTGCTTGCAGTGGCCTAAGTTGCATAACCGCATTACATTAGTACAAGTTCATAGGATGGAATCCTAAGACTGTAATAAATGTATAGAGTTAGTGTCATGTGTTCTTGCAGGTAGAATTACAAACAAGCAATTATGTTCAAATTAATTTTAGCTCATAAGCTGTCTTTTCTTTCCATTGATTAAGAATTTAGTGTACTTCATGCTGGGTTTTCTATTGCTTATCAAATTAATTTCGGTGTGAAGTTTTTCTCCCGGAGTGCTCCTCCACCCTCCCTTTCATTTTATCGTAAGTTTCTTCAGTCTACAGTGTAGAGTAATTATGATTGATTTATTGTTTGAACTTCTCCAGTTTGCAGGAAGTGCATATATAATAAGATTTCAGACGAGGAACTAGAAGTCTGTCCAATATGCAACATAGACCTGGGTTGTGTTCCACTGGAGAAATTAAGGTTCCTATTTCTTCACTTACCACCGGATTAAGCAAATTAAGTACTTATATGGATTATAATATTGATGCAAATTTTGGAGAAGTTGGTTTTCCTTCATTTTTTCAAACAGATCCATTCAGTTTTCATTTTTATTCAGAATGCCATGGTTTATGCCATCAACATACAACCTCCCCGTATTAATTTATTGGCAAAGAACTGTCATTTGATAAGTAAGTTTATTGTGGGATGATGACAAATAGGAGGATGGTACAACACATGATATGCCTTGTAATTCTTTATGATCTTCTGTCTGTGTCCATGCAGTCGCATTTGCAACCATTCAACGTTCTTGATTTAATTGCAGATGATTTGTAGTTCTTCAGTCCTTGTGCCCTTGTCATGCAACTGTAAATTGTACTTATTGAGCAAGCGTGCACGTCCATTGTGCATTCTTTTAATCATGATATATTGATGTTTTTAGTTTACCTTGGTTATCAGGCCAGATCACAGCTTGCAAGATGTAAGGGCTAAGATTTTCCCTTTTAAAAGAAGAAAGGTTAGTGCACCTGAAGTTATGCCTTCAGTTACATTACCAGCAAGAAGAAAGGAGAGATCTCTCTCATCGTTGGTGGTCAACACTCCCAGAGTATCAACTCAAGCCACCATGACGGGAAGGAGAACTAAAGCTGTTGCGAGAAAGGCTTCTGCTTTACAGGCATCCAGTTTTTTGGTTGAGACACCTATTAAGAAAGAGGAAGGTTCCGCGGAAGATCACCTTGAGAGCAGCAGCTCACCTGAGGTCTCAAATAAGTCCGGTCAAAATAACAAGCAGGTAAAGTGATGGCCACATTCTGTCTTATCTAGCTTACCTTATATACATTCATTAAAACTGCCGACGAGGTTCTATTTCTTGATATTTATACTAATGTATTTGGATATATATACTAATGCATTTATTGCTCAAATTTGGTGCCCCAGAGTTCTTTTTCTGCTGAGACTAGCCAACCTGTATCCAATAAAGAAACTGAGAACGGCGGTGAACCATGGGAAGGGAAATTGGATCTCTGGAAACCATTAAATTGTTTGGTTGAAGTTGCGAATAGGACCAAGTCTTTCAAATCCAACTCCCAAGGGTCTGAAAATAAAGTAGAACCGGTGCATGTCATTGCCAGTGAACCTCAGGTTCGCAAGTCCAAAAATAAGGAAAACAAACAGAAATCAAAAGTAGAGGGGGAAAAGAATAGTAATTATCCTACCTCTCCAGAAACAGTAAAACCTAAAAAGCTGCGTAGGATTCGACGAAAGAGGGAATCCTTTGGAGAATCAAGCATTTCACCCCAAGCTGTTCTGGATGCAGCCATTGGCAAACATGAAAGAAGAGCTGGTCCAATTTGGTTCTCACTCGTAGCTTCTGAAGATCAGTGAGAAACAACTTTAGATTTGAAAGATTCTCCCTCCATTTGGATTATTTAAAAAAATTTGCTTGACAAGTTGTTCTTCTGTCTATATACTGATTCTTTACATTAATGGTTTCAGGGAAGGAGATGAACCCTTGCCTCAACTTCCGACGAGTTACTTAAGAATAAAGTGAGTTCTTCTCTATGGCTTTAATGCATATTTGAATGCGTCATACGTCATAACATGCTAAGGTGCTCAATTCTGCAGTGCTATTTATACATTCATAAACTCTTGTTTTGTTAAGATTTAATGAGATTTTAAAGATGCGAGAATTATTCTCTTATGGGAAAAATTCTTTAATTTGTCTCGTTTCTCTCATATTTGGTTCCTCTGTCACAGAGATGGAAGTGTGCCTGTCTCGTTCATCCACAAATATCTAATGATGAAACTAGATCTCACTAGCGAAGCCGAGGTAAGCGAATCCATTTTTGGTTTAGTTTGAAAAGACTACTGGAAAATCATTCCTTAAAAGAATTCATAGCAGCTGCTACATAGTACATCGCAAGCACCCAAATTGTTTGATTTTCTTCGAAATATATAAATATTTGACTATGGATTACTTCCTTCCTTTGGTAACCATTCAGTTAACGTTTCTTTTAGGTTGAAATCAAATGTATGGGGCAACCAGTGGTTCCCACATTAGAGATGTATAATTTAGTTGATCTGTGGCTACAAACGGCATCACCTTCAGAACGAATTACAGCATCCATCGGGTCCTCTGCGAAAGATTTTGTGATGGTGCTGGCTTATTCCCGAAAGGTCTCAAACTCCTAACAGTTCACTCATCCTTGTTTCCCATTGAATTTGTGAGATGATCGAGAGGCAGTTTCTGATCCGGCATGTATGTTATGAGTATGTGTTGCAAACTTGCAATCACCATGTTGTCTACTGCAGCTGGCCACAGCAGGGTTAACGGGGACGAATGGACTACTGAAGAAACGCTCGCTCATCTTCCCCGTACGCTAGTGTGGCATGTTGTTCATGGCGAATGGCCATTGCAATGTATGTATTATACCTGATCCAATTTTCTTCTTCTTCAAATTTTTGGTTCGCGTTATGTAATGCAGGAGTTGTATAAACCCGACTGATACAGAGTCTCAGGGCGCAGTTTGCTTGTCTGTAACACAATTCAAAGTACCAATACACTAATTTTTTTCTTTTATCATCAAGAAACAGCATTTTTTTTTCATTTGGAAGAAAGGTCGCTGGACTTGGTTATTTTTGAGTAAACTAGAGAATCCGTTCCCGAATTTTAACTTAAGTTTAAATTTGCGAATTTTAACTCAAGTATAAATTTGGTCTCCGAACTAAAAGTTCATTAATTTAGATTTTCGGTTGCTTTGCTTACATGGCACGTGACTTTCCAGCTTGGCTCTGAACACCTGGTTTGTACTATTTATAGGCTTTTCCTATTCATGCTGTAAAGGCTGCAACCTTTTTCTGCCTTGAGCATCTCTGAGTCCCGACTCCCGACTCCCGAGACGGCAGCCAAACAAATATAAAGCAACATACATCCACATTGTTTTATAATGCCCCAAAGCATGATGTGCAGTAGATGTTTTTTTAGTGTTATTCACCTTGCACACATTTTTAAAAATTTTTGACAGTTCAATTAAAAAAATTAACGATAATAAATTAGCAAGAGTGTGAAAAATAAAAATAAATGTGTAAATAACATTTTTTTTAATACCTTCAATATTATCTATGCTAAAGGTGAACAAGTGAAATAAACTTCATAATGAACTAGCCATAATAATTTGGATTGAATTGTCTTTGAAAAGAATCAAATCTAAAATCTCTCACTTATAAGTAAGAGAAATATCACTAAACCGTAATATTAAGTGACATGTATCAGGGTTTTAAACCGTTAATTTTTTTTACTTCTTTACTAAAATAGAAAACATGGTGGATCTTGACCCTCCATTGGCGAGTGCATTCTATACATTGGCGCATGATATAATTTCACATTTTTTCCTACCGTAGAATTTCCATATGATAAGAGTTTTCACAATCGATACATTAATAATTCAATTATTTTTGTCATAGAATAGAGTTATCTTACCCTACAAAAACAAAAACAATTCCACAACAATGTGTTAAAAGACAACGAGAAGAGCATGCTTAGCTCCCCGTCCGGCCTTCAACGTCCATCACACGGGCCCTATGGCAGTCTCAAGTATCTATTAACACAAGGTAAATTGAGTAGCAACATATATTGGGTAGACATTGCCATTAAACTGAGGAGTGAGAACAATTATATCAAAACCTCTCAACTATGGCTTATGGGGTTGAGCAATCGACAGTTGAAATGCGCCAATGGCGAAAGCCGATAGCAACACATTGCAATGGAAGAAACTTACCATAAACACCGACTAATGCACTTGCAACAAAACAAAATCAAAACCAAAAGTAATATGCCACGGAGGAACACAATTTGGCGTTTTACATGGAACGAGTAGCCAAGAAATGGTACAAAGGTGGATGGTTGACGAAGGTAAATATCAAGCTATCAACACTCAAATGCAAACGGCGGCAACACATCCAAATGCAAGAAACTTACAAGTAATATGCCACAAACAACACTGCTTGGCACATACATGAACAAAAACTCGTTAAAACTCAATGTTTTCAAGTCATTTTTATTAATTTTCTTTACATAATATGCACATAAACTGTAAGAACTTCGATTATAAACTCGAAGAGATTAACGGCCTTACTCCAATAACAATGTTTCCATTCTTTCAACAACCACACTTGAAATCAACACTAGATATTGGCAGAAACCAGAGCAATCCGATACGTGCTTAAATAAAGTATAAAAGAAAACCTCTATAGGGTCATAAATTCACACTACATTTACAAAAATGAAATCCAAAAAAATAAGCAGCCGAATTCGAAAGCTAAAAGCGAAGAATTTAGCTCAAGATTGAATGAAATGTTACCTAAAAGTAGACCTAAAGACAGAAACTTTCTTCTGCCCAGAAAGGATCCAATGGCACCCAGCATCTTCCAATTGGCTAAATGCCGCTGTACCGAGTCCGCGGGGGACTGCCCACAACCGAGAGCAACCCACCTTCGGCAGCTTCCTGCTCGTCGGCATACAAATCCTCCGTTCCCCTAAACGCCGCGTGCAACCCAACAATCGCGGCCCCAACCAGAATCGACACCAGCACGTTCAGCCACACGTGCGTGAAAACCAGAGCCACGACGGTGACGACGGCGAGAATCCCCAAAACGACGCGGTCGTCGACGATTCGATGGAAAATTACGAGCGGTTCGTCGCGGAAGAAGTAGAGAAAGAACCAGGCGATGAAGACGAAGAGGAAGACGATGAGGGAGACGGGGTGCCAGAGCAGGCTGAGGAAGAGGACAAAGAGGACGAGCATCGTGTAGTTTACGCTGAAGTGGCCGAGGTTGCGCTTGATTCGGACGGTGGCTTCGCCGAAGGTGTAGGGGCGCGTGAAGCTGGAAAGGGGCTGGACGAGCTCGAGCCATGGGCGGCGCGTGGCGAAGAAGGCTTGGGTCGTGGTTCTGGCGCGTGAGAAGGGTTCGGGCGAGGTGGTAGTGGGAGGATGTGTGCCGTAGTGCGGTGGCGAATCTAAAGACATTTGAAGCTGGAAGAATTGAGCTTTGTGGAGGACTGGAGGTTGAAGATGGAGCTATCTGAGCTGAACTGAAACCCTAGGAGAGAGAAAATGGTGATCGGAACAGTACAGAGAGGGAGGGAGGGAGGTTTCTGTAATTCTCTGTGTGAGACTGTTGTGGTGGTCTGATATTTTGTGCTTTGGGGAATGTGGGCCTGCCAAATGCGTCTTTACGTCGTTTTTGTATCATATTCGTTATTAGCTGATCGTGTTAAATAAATAGATCATGGAAGAAATTATCATATCGATTTTTAACAGATATTTTGATAACTATCCGACTTATAAACAAGTTCTTAACATGTGTTTGGATAAGAACCTTACTTATTAATAGGTTAATTCAAATTTTATTATTTTTATATTATTTCGTGTCAAATTTACGTGTGATGAAAAAAAGGAACTGGATTCTTTCTGGATCCAAAGGAATTGAGCCTACTCATCAAATGATCTAAACTATTAAAATTTGATTCAACAGTTACAAACAGAAAGTTTTCTAAAAATTATAATAATTATAGTTAGATCAAATTTGAATGAAAAGTTGTGAGATCATTGTGCACAAGAAAGGCGTGATTTGATGGAAGGTCGTATTGGTATATTGGGACTAGGTGGACGTGTTGGAGCCTCGGCTTTGGTGACTACCGTTTGTGGCTTTATTGGTGAAACAGGTGGCCTAAACAAGCCCAAACAAACAACTGGTCTGCATAGCTTTTTGACCGACATGAGAAGATATGTAAGTTTTTTGGCATTAAAGAATAAAATTGTGATTTGTCAAAATAGGATTGGATGGATACAAGAAGTTTTTCAGTAAGCATTGATGTATATTATGCGAGAAATTTTTTAGTATATCAAAATAGAATTGCCGGATAGATTACTAATTATTGAATTTTTTGGCCGCACATTAATCTTTCGTGGCCTAATAACAAAAGATTTGGGCTAAATCACACAACAATTAATTATAACAAATTAGTGTTTAATTCGTCATTAATTAGTTTTGAAATCAAAACCTCTCATAGACTTGGGGCCTTCGGCCAAAGAACATAGTCACAAGTTATTAATACTCTTATTTGTTGCTTAAATGACATCCTTTCATTTATATGTCATCAATATGGCCTTCATAGAAGCAAAAAATGGGCAATTGAATGTTACGTACCAAAAAATGAGCGAATGGTGTAAGAATACGTAACTTTAGAGTTGTGTTTGTGCACTTATTGATGTCATGAAATAGTATTACATATCATGAAAGAATTGGTAAGTCTTGACATCTTCCACAATAAACTTGACAGCACCAACGCAGCCCAAAACTGCCACAACAGAGAACCAAGTAACCAATGCAAAGTTGAGAAGCAGCAAAGAAAGGTACATTTTGGTGTTTTGGGTCTGCCTTCTTCTTCTAGCTTTTAAATATGCCAATGCAGGGAACACAAAGTCCAATGGTGTGAACCCAATTGCTCCACAGATTGACACAAAGTCCCCAAAGAAAGGCACAGCTGCTGCAACAAGAGTGATCAGAACCATATAAATCGAGGTGAAAACAAGCCGAATTAGGGTTTTTCGGAGCCAGAAATGACTGGTGCTGGTGGTTTTGTGTGACAGGAGTCGCTCCTCAAAGTAGGCGTATGTTGGCCTGCAATATATCTAACAACATGAAATGCAAAAACTGCATCAGAAGAGAATCCCAAGTTGTGGAAAATGGTGTGTTGGGGATTTACGCTGCGTCCAGATAAGAAGGAAATAAACTTGGAATTCGGACAAAGAAAAACCCGGGTCAAGAAACTTTTAACTCTTGAATTTCCTCGTCCGAGCGCAAGGTTAGAACATATGACACGTAATATTAAGGGTACCTGAAAACATCCTGAAATTTGTATGACAGCAAAAAGATTGGCCATGACAATGGTCCATTGGGGAACAGTTAGAGAAGACAAGATGTAAGGTTGCACATGTGAGCCAAAAGCCCAGTACCCAGTGAAGGCCAACTGCCAGTAACTCAACACAATGACACCATATGCTGCTGATACACCTTTATACATGTTCTTCTTTGCAGGTTCTCTCACTGTATTCTGTATCGCAACATAATTCAAACTTTTCAATTACGAACTTTTAGTTAAACGTAGAACTAGAGCGACACTAAACAGACAATAGACGGAAACTGAAGTGCGGTTCATATATGGTTAATCCTCTGTTTAGTGTCTCCCGGTAATCACTAAATACCGATAACTACAGATTGACCTGGATCTCCGGAAGCATTGCATCTCCAAAGGAAAAGGCAATTGCGCCAAGAGCGTTAAAGGCTCTGAAGGCCTTAGAAGATGAGCTTCCATCCAAACTATAACTGACTGATTTTCTGTCAATCTTTTTCCCTAACAAGCAAGGAAAAAGAAATTACTAAACTCAAATGCCCAAAGAAATCCAAACTTGACAGATGATATTCAGGTTGTGCAGTAGTAGGCTGCTACCGTTGTAAATTGTGACACCAATTGTTGTGCCAGCAAAGCCAATGGTGCTGAAAGTGCACAAGGCATTTACCCATCTCAGTGAGTGGATATCTGGCAGCTGAGAAAGCAAGAGTTCAAATGCCCCAAAGAAAATGATGAAGTGCTGCAGGGTTAAGCTACCTTCACTGTGATAATATTTGTACACAGCCTGCATAAAAGAATAAGCAATGTTATATGTAATTCCCTCGAGTCTCGGGTTGGCTCGTCTGGTGGTTGGGACTGAAATTGAGTTAGAGTCGTTCTGACGGAGTCTCACCACTCCTCAGTAGAAGACTTGTAAGACACAATATGTTTGACTGCAGTTCAATTTATAAGTTCACCAAACAGTGGTCAGGACGATAGTTCAATTAATTGAAATAGTCCAGTTCAAACCGAGCCACCCAACGGAAGAGAACTACAACAACTTGGAATGAATGAGATGAGTTGAGATGAGATGAGTTGAGTTGAGTAATCAAACCTTAAGGCTGCTTCCAGCTGCAATCTGAATGGCTATATTATTGCCTATAGAGGCCAACTGCTGAAAAAATGCAATTGACCAATAACCCCAGAACCCTTCAACAAAAATAAATAAATAAACAAATAAATTATGAAATTGAATTGTAATTTCCATAACAAAATTAGGATATTGAGGGATTAAAAATTGCCTAAGTGGTACCAAAAATGCTTTTTGCCAGGTGGCGATAGGTGACGTGTTTCTTCCCATCCCATTTCCACAGAGAAGCAACGAGAAAGCTTGAATACCACGTGGCTAGTGTTGCTCCCACCAAACTGCTCACGCCTACAAGTTACAGCAATAATCAATCACTTGAGAAATTCGAACCGTCGAGATTCACAATCTGATAACATCATAAACTACCAAGAGGCCAGCCGAGAGAGGCCAAAGCGAAAGGCAGGGGTGCATAGGCGGCAGGGGTGGCAATCGTGGTGGCCACGTGGAAAGCGGCGTGCTTCCACGTGCCTTGACCATGTTTTTCTTCTTCTTCTTCTTCTTGTGCTACTTGCCTTTCATGATCCACCTCCACTTGTTCATCTTTTGGTGCTTCTGCTGTTGGATCCGGTGGTGGAAGTGACATTTTTGGGTGGCTCTCAGAGTTTGAAGGCCTCTTCTGCTTTCATCGGTTGCTGATTTGTTGTGTACGATTGCTAATTTGCAAAGACACCTTCAGTTTAGTTAAATGTCTAAATAAGCTGCTTTTGACTTTTCCTTGTTGGGGTTGTAGGATGTGGACGCACGGAAACTTTGGGATTAGATTATTGCATCTCTTTGAAAATTACCATTAGGACAAATGTTATGAGTACCCATTTGAAAGAAAACTCTCGATTAAAATTCAACTTTAAATACATCAATATATTCACATTAGAAAGATAAAGAATTTAGTTAAGCCAAACGATGAGTTAATTATAATAATGTAATATTGAGTTTGTCATTTACAAAAGTTAAATTTAAAACATCTTAGATACAAGCGACATCAATAAGGATGCAATTAATTATTGCTAAAATTGCCATTTGTTTTCGATTTTCTTTTTATTTTATGAAATTTGTTTATTTGTGATCTGATTCTCCATAAATTATCGTTCATATAATGACAGATTAACTATATAGTCTATATTTTACATCCTTTAGATTTGAGGTGATTTTTAAAATAGATCATGTAATTCCCATTTTTTCACATTGAACCCTAAAATTTAAAATTGTACCAACTCACACTGACACACCCCGACCAAGATAGGGGCGTGCTGGCCGTCACACAAAGGCGACGTAGCCATGTGCACGTGCGGAAGCTAATGGAGTAGTAAAATAAAAGTACGAATAATTAAAAACTGGAATACTAGTACTAGAATAAGTGCTAGTTAGTGCGATACAAATTCAGAGCAGGTCTATAGCAGTCCAAATAAAATAACAACCGTAGTACGCCCGAAGGCGAACCTACAATGTGGAGTGTCTGTCAGAACGCCGAAAAGCTCGCAAGGGAAACCACCGCAACGGCTAAGCTACTAGAACCTGGAGGGGCGCAAAACAAAAGTGTGAGTGGGCAAAAACAAAGCTCTTTGAAAACCATTTAATAAAACACAATCTAACCCCTCGCCGTAAAACCTGTATACTTCCCAGAAAATAACATATGTACGTATGTATAGATATGCTCAAACATGCTCAAGGGTATGCCAATCATGTTCAATATATGCTATGTCAAAATCTCCTAATGATATGCAAGTGCTCAGGTGTGAGTCGTATCAATCACACAATCCTCTGGCAGCCGGAGTCACCTAACGTGACCTGTACGGCTGTATATAGAGCTCAAATGTCCAACTCAATAACTAAACCTGCCCACGAGTCGGAACCACCTAAAGGGGTCTGTACGACAGGTCCTGGGTGTAACATGTATATACGCTCTAGTGCTACGATCACGTGAAGGCTGTGCGAATAATCGCGGGTCACCTACGAGTCGGAACCACCTACTGTGGTCTGTACGACAGGCCTATGCACCTAACTTGGATCCAAGCTGAGCGTATGGTGCGGGAGGTGAACAACACGTGAAGGACTGTGCCCTACTCTGGGCGGGAGCACTAACACCGGGGGTGCAGGTTATGAGCTCTCTAAGCATCTCTAAACACTATGTAATGCAATCGTTAATTAACGCTTACCTGGCACTTACCTATGCCTCCACAGCACCCACACATAAATATATATGACATATGCATATGTATATGTATGCCACAAATGATGCATGTAACGATGCATAAACGATAAATAATAAAGTACATGGCATAAGGCAATTAACCCTTTTTAAATCAATTTCTGGGAATATAAATGTATATAGGTAGATACGGAAAACAAAAGCCCACTCACTGGTATGTAGAAGGGTCGTAGCCCCCCTGTCTCGCCTGTGCACGCTCGTCCTCTGGGTACGTGTCACCTAGATGCGAAACAACTATAAAAACGTTAACTTTAAAGCACATAACCCGTTTCTCGTAATAACTTCTCATACATTGCTCAAAATGGACAAATGAATATACCAACGTGATCTACACAACCTCACGATCACAACCATATTTTTAAAATAATTTTTGGACACCTCACGCGCCCCCACGCGCCAGCACAGGCACGGGTCCACGCGCCCCCACGCGCGGCCACGTGACCTGCACACTGACGGCGTCAGGTGACGCCGTCAGGAATATTCCCTGGAATATTCCGTTAACCTTGACTGACGCCGTTAGCTTCTGTTAGGAATATTCCGTTAGCCTTAACGGAATATTCCCCTGTCTTCTCCGGCGAGCCGCCGCCGTCTGCGCCGCCGCCGTCGCCGGCGCCGTCGCCGGAAAACTGGAAATTTTTCAAACTTCGTTTTCTCACTCGTTTTTCAACCATTTTTCACGTTCTTTATACCAAAATGAAGCTTAGGACTAGTAGAATCACGTTAGACTACTCTTAAGGCCTAAAAATCAAAGAATCTCACCTGCAACAACGATCCAAGTTCGGCCAACTTTGAAACTAAGCTTTCCCGACGTCCAAATTCACCCAACGAAGTATTCCCAAGCTCCTTGAGGTCTCCCTAACACAACTACAAGCTTAAAAAGTCCAGAAACACAATGTATAAAACTTGCATGAACAGTACTCAATTCGGCCATTGTTGAATCGACGTGAAAACGAAATATTCCTCACCTGAAAATGGTATGGTTGAGCTCGCCTCGACCTTACGAGTTGAATAGTGTCTTTGGTTTCCTCGATCTACTAAGATTTGGGTGCCTTTGTGTGTTGTCCGTACGGTTTCTAAGGAGAAGGGAGGAAGAGAGCACGGGAGAGGCAGAGAGAAGACAGAAGGAGAGAGAGACAGTGTCTGTCTGTGGGAGTGTGTGTGTGGTCCAACACATGCCACCCCACACCAAAACAACCCACAACGTGACAAAAAAAAACGACTAAGGGCAAAAAGGTAAATTCACACGTGCGTTTAATAATCCCGGGACGGGATGTCACAACCTTCCCACCTTAAAAGAATTTCGTCCCGAAATTCAAAACAACCAAACAGCAGCCCCTACTGGCCAAAGAACAAACGAGGGTACAAATCCCTCATTCGATCTTCTGTCTCCCACGTAGCTTCCTCAACGGAATGGTTCCTCCACAAAACCTTCACTAATTTCACTGTCTTGTTCCGCAGAACCTTCTCCTTCCAATCGATGATCGTCACCGGTTCCTCGTCATACGTCAAGTCTGGGTTAATTCTAACGGTTGAGGAGGTATCACATGGGATGGATCAGCAACATAGTGTCGGAGCATAGACACGTGGAAAACGTTATGCACTCTGGCTAGCTCTGGAGGTAACTCCAACCTGTAAGCTACCTCACCAACTCGCTCCACGACCATGTATGGTCCGATGTACCGTGGACTTAATTTTCCCTTCTTCCCAAATCTTACTACACCTCTCCACGGCGAAAGCTTCAAAAATACCCAATCTCCGACTTCGTACACCCTGTCTGTAGCATGCCGATCCGCTAAACTCTTTTGTCTGTCCTGTGCCGCTTTCAAATTAGTCTTGATTACCTGGACGTTCTGGGTAGTCTCCTCAACAATCTCCGGACCTACTAAGACCCTTTCTCCGACTTCTGACCAACACAACGGTGTGCGACAAGCTCTACCATACAAGGCCTCAAATGGTGCCATGCCAATACTTGAATGAAAACTATTATTATAGGCAAATTCCATCAAATCTAACCGCTGGTGCCAAGCGTCACCAAACTGCAACACCGAAGCTCGCAGCATATCCTCTAAGGTCTGAATAGTTCTCTCTGACTGCCCGTCGGTCTGTGGATGATATGCCGTACTATAAAGTAATCTCGTGCCTAAGGCTTCTTGGAAAGCTACCCAAAACTTCGATGTGAATCGTGGATCACGATCCGAGACAATACTCACTGGGACACCGTGGTACTTCACAACCTTCGAAATGAACAACTCCGCTAAACGGCTCAGAGAATACTTCTCTCTCACTGGAATAAAATGAGCCGACTTAGTGAGTCGATCAACGATCACCCAAATGCCGTCAAAGCCATTATGTGTACGCGGCAACTTGTACACAAAATCCATGGTGATATTTTCCCATTTCCACTCGGGAACTGGAAGCGGCTGCAACAACCCAAACGGCTTCTTCCTTTCTGCTTTAACTTGCTGACAAACAGCACAACTGCTCACATACTCGGCTATCTCCCTCTTCATACCCGGCCAATAATAAAATGGTCGAATGGTATGATACATTTTCGTAGCTCCTGGATGCATGGCGTAAGCCGAGATATGTGCTTCATCGAGAATTTCTTTCTTTAACTCCACGCTCTTAGGCACGAACATTCTACCCTCTAGCATCAACATGCCATCCGAATCTCGAACTCTGAGGTCTCGCCTCCTTCCTTGTTCTCGAGCTTGAATTAGTTCTTGAGTCTCTTGATCAGCTACCTGAACTTCAAGTACCCGATCAATAAGAATTGGCCTAACTTGGAAATTAGCAAGTAACGCCACTTCTCGATCTTCAGCTTCTAACCTCACTCCTGTAGCACGCAAGTCCGCCAAAAGAGGAATACGGCTTGCATACAACGCATTAATGCGGCCCTGTGACTTCCTACTAAGCGCATCAGCCACTACGTTCGCACGACCAGGATGATAATCAATCGTGCAATCGTAATCGCTGAGCAACTCCAACCACCTCCGCTGACGAAGATTAAGTTCCTTCTGAGTAAAGAGATACTGGAGACTCTTGTGATCTGTAAAGATCCTGCACTTTTCTCCGTAAAGATAGTGTCTCCACAACTTCAACGCAAAAATGATAGCAGCCAACTCCAAATCATGTGTAGGGTAATTCATCTCATGAGGTTTCAACTGCCGCGAAGCATAAGCAATCACCCTACCCTGCTGCATCAACACACATCCCAAACCATTCAAGGAAGCATCGCTATAAACCTCGAAATCACCGCTCTCGTCTGGGAGTGCCAAAACAGGTGCATGAGTGAGACAATGCTTCAACTGTTGGAAACTCTGTTCACACCTATCATCCCACTCAAATTTAACATCCTTCCTTGTTAACCTTGTCAGTGGTAAGGCAATCACCGAAAAATCCTTAACGAATCTCCGATAATACCCCGCCAATCCAAGGAAACTTCTCACCTCGGTGACGGTTCGCGGTTGCTCCCAACTCTCTACCGCT